AATGATTCGGTGAGCCGACATGTGCAGAAGAGGTCGTTGAAGCCACGTTTTTCGGCCAGGTTCGAGCGTCTGAGACTAACGGGATTGTGCCAGATGCATCCCACGGCGCTGTTGGCACAGTGCTCCATGACAAAGGCGTTTGGTCAGGAATAGAACAGGCCAAAGGTGACCAACGCAGCCGGTGCTGTAGGATGCCACTACCCTTTCATGAGACCCTTCTTGCTGACCCCTCTTCCCCACACGATCGCCAGCCATGTTCAACCACTCGTGAGGGGCAAGACGGGCCAGCGCCAGAATTCTTGGATTTTCACCGGACATGATGAGCAATTTCTCCTGGAAATGAAGTAGACAGCGCCAGTGAGCCTCGCGAAGTCCTCGTCAGGTGTGCTCGTTGAAAACCGATATGTTGTCATTCTACATACGCATCAGTTTTCCAACGGGTTCTGAGCAGTTTTATGTATTGTGCGTGCGCCAACATCATGACCAACAGCGGTTTAACATCGCAGAGCTCGGCCCGCGCAATCCAGGATCAGGCCGCGCATTCGACCAAGCCAGTCTTGTCATCCATCATTGCCAGCCGGTCCGTTTTTGCCGGTGCTAGTCTGCAGTGGTCTCCTAACTGTTGCGATTCCACTGCAAGAGCATGTTGGTTCGCTAGACTCCGACAAGTCAGCAAGTGCCAGCTCAGACATGGCAACCCGCTAACTGCAGTGCAGTGAAGTTCTGAAACAGTTGAACAGTTGGAACAGTGCAGGGAAAAATTTTTGTCTTGGCAGCTCTCTTGTCTTTAAAATAGAAGGCACATGTTGCACCAAAAAACAGTTTACCTGAACTGATGCTACTGCTATTCACATCCTGCTGCCACATCACATCTACAGGAATGACAACAAGATGATGGATTCTTTCGCACCATTGCTGGGCGACTTGATCTGTTGGGCACGCGTTGCGTTGCTCGTGCTGCAGGGCACGACTTTGACTTGGAACGGGTGCAAAAGCGCCTAACTTTGCACAGCAAGGAGCCCTGCGGAAGTCCGAAAGATGTGTCATGGCGATCGGAGGTGCACTCACAGGCATTAGAATTGAGGTAGTTCAACGGCATCGCTACTAGGAGCAAGGACGCTACTAGTAGCTCCTGGCATTACTACTAGGAGCAAGAAGCTACTAGTAACCAAGGGCATCGCTACTAGTAACAAGGTTTAGGAGTCTTTTTGATCGTTTTGGAGTCACACCTTCGGTCAGGACGCAGAGGGTGTTCTCAATTTTGCCGGGCATGAAGACAATGGTCCGGAAACTTAGGGTATTGAAGTCAATGTGGGTCATCTATTCCGCCTATTAGGCATGTAAGGCATGAAAGACATGTTTGACTGGGCTGAACTGAGAAGGGTGACAGGTTCTCAGAACGTGTCTAACGCCGTTCTGAATTTTCTCTCAGCCTAGGCCGTGGAGCTGCAAGGTGGATTAAGAATACAGAGGCGCGAGAGTAGTTGAGGGGTGCCTTAAATGAGGAAGGACAATGTTGTTGTGATGCCACCAGTGATATCGCGAATAGCTACTAAAACCACATCACGGGTATTCACATGTTTCACTATAATCACCGGACGGGTAGTGCATTTCTTCGCCACGAGTGGTGTCGGTCCTATCCATCGCCGGTCTGTGGTCCGTCCATGGTCTCTTCGAAGAACAAGGAAAGAGTTCTTTTTAGAGTTAAGCCCTAGTAGCTTCTTGTTCCTAGCAGCAAGAATGTTACTTGTAGCGATTCCATTGTTCCTGGTAGCTTCTTGTTCCTAGCAGCAATAATGCTACTAATACTAGTAGCAATGCCCTTTGTTACTAGTAGCGATGCCAGTGGTCCTGGTAGCTTCTTGTTCCTAGTAGCACTAGTAGTAATGCCCTTTGTAGCCTGTGTTACTAGTAGTGATTCCCGTGTTCCTGGTAGCTTCTTGTTACTAGTAGCAAGAATGCTACTAATACTAGTAGCAATACCCTAGCGATTCCCGTGTTCCTAGTAGCTTCTTGTTTCTAGTAGCAAGAATGCTGCTGCTGCTGCTACTACCACTACTACTACTACTACTACTACTACTCCTACTCCTACTCCTACTGCTACTGCTACTGCTACTGCTACTGCTACTGCTACTCCTACTACTACTACTACTACTACTAGTAATGCCCTTTGTTGCTACGTTCCTGGTAGTGATTCCGGTGTTCCTGGTAGCTTCTTGTTGCTAGTAGCAAGAATGCTACTACTACTAGTAGTGATGCCCTTGGTTACTATGCTGGTAGTCATGCCCTTTGTTACTAGCAGCGATTCCCGTGTTCCTTGTAGCTTCTTGTTCGTAGTAGCAAGAATGCTACTAATACTAGTAATAATGCCGTTTGTTACTAGTAGTGGTCGCCGTGTTCCTAGTAGCTTCCTGTGCCTAGTAGCAAGAATGCTACTAATACTAGTGTAGTGCACTTTGTTACTCGTAGCGTTGCCCTTGTCCTAGTAGCTTCTTGTTACTAGTGGCAAGAATGCTACTAATACTAGTAGCAATGCTCTTTGTTACTAGTAGCGATTCCGGTGTTCCTGGTAGCTTCTTGTTCCTAGTAGCGCTAGTAGTAATGCCCTTTGTAACCCTTTGTTACTAGTAGTGATTCCCGTGTTCCTGGTAGCTTCTTGTTCGTAGTCGCAAGAATGCTTCTAATACTGATAACACTGCCCTTTGTTACTAGTAGCGCTTCCCGTGTTCCTGGTAGATTCTCTTTTCTAGTAGCAAAAATGCGACTAGTAGTAGTAGTAGTAGTAGTAGTAGTAGTAGTAGCAGGAGTAGTAGTAGTAGTAGTCGCATTCTTGCTACTAGGAACAAGAAGCTAACAGGAACGCCGGAATCGCTACTGGTAACAAAGGACATTACTACTAGTATTAGAAGCATTCTTGCTACTAGGAACAAGAAACTACCAGGAGCACGGGAACCGCTACTAGCAACAAAGGGCTAGTAGTAGTAGTAGTAGTAGTAGTAGTAGTAGTAGTCTTGCTACTAGGAACAAGAAGCTACCAGGAACGCCGGAACCGCTACGAGTAACAAAGGACATTACTACTAGTATTAGAAGCATTCTTGCTACTGGCCAGGAGCTACTGGTAGCGTCCTTGCTCCTTGTGGCGATGCCCTTTGCTACTAGTAGCTTCTTTATCGTCTGTTCCCTTAGAGTTCTTTTAGACAATCCGTTTTTGTTCTTTGTCCTGCACTTGACAGGCGGTTGCAATGGGCGCGTTGAACAAGTATGAGACCGGACAGCACAAGATGCTGGGCTGCAGAGTTCTTAGGTTTTTCTGGTATTGGATTTTTGTAGTTACATGTAAAGAGAATCTTTTCGATAGTGCTTTTGGAGCAACGCGCGTTGAATCCAAATGACCATTCCTCAGCCAGATGACCTTTCACCTTCCCTTTTTGCATGACACCCTTCACCATTGTACAGTATGTGCATCCTTCCAAGCTAGAGTGTTCATGCCGTCGAAGCAGGATCTTCTCGGATTTCGCGGAGAAGTTGAAGGACACCACAGGCTCGACATGAACGACATGAACGACAAGAACCCGGAGCAGAGCCGTACTCCAATAAAGCATCAAGTTCGGTAGCACAAGCATAGTTTCCCCTAAAGGAGAAGAGAGAAGAGTCTGAGCAATCTAGGCTGGAGGCCATCGCAGGTTGGAGGCCATCGCTCTTACTGGTAGAAGCAAAGCACAAAGCAATCCAGCAAAACACCAGTCTGAGCTCTCAGATGCTTCGGTGAGTTTGATGGGATCTCCCGTCCGCTTCAGCACACACACACACACACGCATTTGTTGTGCCTCCGCCACCCAGACTACATGAACAAGCGCATGGGGAGCACTGGAATATCAATGGCTCCTTGGAAGATTGCAAAGGCTGTGCAATCTGAATGTCCAGAAAAGATAAAGGGAACGAGACGACAAGAAGGAAGGTCTAGAGTCTGGAGGTCTAAAGGAAAAAGCAAGGAAGACAAGACGCTCAGACACTCAGACAACAGAGCCTCTTCTCTTGTTTGGAACAGTTTAGAACATTTTTAGCACTTCGCTACTAGTAACAATGGCATTACTACTAGTTTACTAGTAGCTAGAAGCTACTAGTAACAAGGGCATCGCTACTAGGAGCAAGGACGCTACTAGTAGCTCCTGGCATCGCTACTAGGAACAAGAAGCTATTAGCTTATTGTGTCTACTAGCTTCTTGTTACTACTAGTAAGGCACTTGTTACTACTAGCGATGCACTTGTTACTAATAGTGAACAAGAAGCTCCTAGGAGCAAAGGCCTTCCAGTTTTCAGCTCCGGACGGACTAAGGGCTCCACTGGGGTCAGCTTTGCAGCGCCAGACACCACAGTCTTCTTGCAACCTGAGGCAGTCCTGGGCGAGGTTTCTCAGACAATGCCAGGGTCGTAAAAAGGAAAGAATAGAGAAATAGAAAGAGAGAGGGAGGGGAGGAGAAGGACTGTGTTTGTGTTTGTTCCTGTTTTCATCATTCTTTTTGATATTTTTTGACATGTACCAGTCTTTCCTGGAAGCTCATGAGTGGTGATTGCAGCAAGCGATTGCCAACCTGCTTCATGAACCTATTCTGAATTTCTATTGGACGACATGTTTCATACCTTTTCCAAAAAATACGCTACTAGTAGCAAAGGGCATCGTTACTAGGAGCAAGGACGCTACTAGGGGCTCCTGGCTTCATTCACTACTAGGAGCAAGGACGCTACTAGGGGCTCCTGGCTTCACTACTAGGAGCAAGGACGCTACTAGGGGCTCTTCTTCAGTGCGAGCGCTTCTTCAAGGTAAAGGGGGCGGGGGAGCTTCCTTGAAGAACCGTGAGCTATCCTGCGTCATGCTAGTAGCTTAACTAGCTAGCTACCTTTTCCACTAGCTACCCTACCTATCTCGGCCTACCTTCCCCCCTGCGGGCGTGTTGGCGGCAGGAAAGAGATATGCTGCAAAGTCTGGAGATGCAAAAGAAACAAAAAGAGAAAACGGCCCCTTGGCAAAGCCCTTAGACTCAGACTAGCGAACGACGGAAAGTCACTGGCGCGACTCAAGGTTTGGGAGCTCAAAAAACAGCCACTTGGCAAAGTTGGAAATCACCTGATGTGGAGTCTCGTGTGTCCTTGATGTGATGGGCCAGTCGTAAAGACGGAACCAAATGATTATCCTATAGCGGCCACCTCATCCTATAGCGGCCTACCCCCTTCCCCCCGGCCTTTTAGAATATCATCTCCAGAGCACCTTGTTTGCAGCGCTCGTTCGCAAGCGAACGTTCTCTCTTTGCTTTCAAATCGAGGCTTGATGAATTGATTGCGACGCGGAAGAACATGGATGAGGATCGAGCTTGTGTAGATATGTGTAGATCATAAACTGAGGTATCAAGGTCTTTTGTGTGAATTATGGAATTATGAAACAAGGGAAACAAGAAAAGGGGAAAGGTCTAAAAGCAAAAGGACAAAGAAATAAAAAAGGAAAATAACAACGAAGAGACAGGAGAGAAAGAAAAATGTCTCAACCAGGAAGAAAGCAGCGAAGGAGGAAAGGAAAAAGGAAGAACACAGCAAAAGAAAGGAGGAAGGGAACAAGGAAGAAAGAAAGAGGAGAACAAGTCCGGAGGTAAAAGACAGGAAGAACTTGACACAAGGAAGACACAAAAGGGAGACAGGCTGAAAGGAAGACGGAAGACAGAAAGAAAGGAAGGAAGGAAGGACAGAAATGAAAAAAGAAGGGGAAGGAAGGTAAACACCAAGAACGAGAAAGGACCAGGAACGAATGAAAGGAGGAAAGGATCTTGACGGGGGGTATGAAGATATCAGATATTTCATGCGATGTGAGGCCACAGCTGTTTCAGGTGGCTTGCGGAAACTTCTTGTCGGAAATGGAAGATCGGCGCTATATCCAGCTGAGAGCTTATAAGGGATGCTCACAGTTGGGAGACAGGCAGACAGGAAAAAACACCAACGTATGTGGCCCTCTTGGCTAGAAAGAACATGGATGTGGTCCCATTCCCAAGCAGCTGGAGAAGCATGAAAAGACGGCGGGAGATCATAGTGTCAAAGGAAGTTATGAGGTCAAAACTGTTGATATATATATATATATGTAATTATATAATTCTTTTGCCATGTGACAAAGGCAGAAAGGGAAAGGCAAGGAAGGCACAGAGCAAGGTCTTATATAAGGTCCAAGATAAAGCAAATGCCATATTAACAAGAAACCATGTCTAAATACAAACCCAAAAATGACCAAGAAGACAGTTCTAAACAAAAAGGAAAAGAACAGGAAGAACGGTCAAAGAAAAAAAGAGAGAAGCCGGTCTAAACGAAAGAGCAAAGGGCAAGAGAAAGGAGGGAAGAGAGTCTGGTCTCAAGATCATATCGGTATCCCATGCGAGTGCAATGAAAGCTCCTAGTAGCCTCTTGTTCCTAGTAGCGAGGCCAGGAGCCCCTAGTAGCGCCCTTGCTCCTAGTAGTGATGCCCTTTGCTCCTAGTGGCGTCCTTTACCCCCACAGTGAGATGTAGGTTGGCTTAACAAGTTTAGATTCAAGGCTAGGCTCGGGTGCGTACTGGCTTTGTTGTAGGTGTAATCTCTATCTATCTATCTATCTATCTTTCTACATGTATATATGTTTAATTGCACCTTCATTTTGTGTCTTCCTTGAATTGAATTGCTTTGAAGCTCTTTAAGCTAAGTTAAGCTTATTTTGGAGTTGAAATGGGCGCTTCGCAGGTGGCACCAGTGTCCAGTGGCAACACGGAGGCCAAGATGGGCACTGATCAGCGCTCGCGACATGCCGAGAGCACCTTGGTCCGCAGGGGTATATAATGTGTTCCTTTTCATTTCATTTTCAGTTTGAATTCTGAAAGGCATGAATCATGTCAGCTTGTGAGCAGAGCGTCCGACAGCATTGAGGCTTAGATGAGATGGATGAGGCCTGACATTCGGCTAGAAGCTGGGCGGATGCGAAGCTAACAACTTGTGCGGGCTCGGCAACGATTGCATTTCTCTATCGAAACTCTCTGAGTTGGTTCCGAGAATTGAGAACTTTCTTTGCTACTTGGACTTGGCTTGCTGTGGAACAAGAATGCAAAGTGGTCGTAGCAACTACGTTTTTCTAATTGTTGTTTCTCAAAGAAGAGAAAGCATCGAAGAGACAACATGAAAGGAAGGACAAAGGACAAAAAATGAAGCAAGACAAATGTTTTATTTTTGCTTATTATTTCTTGTTCAAGTTCCCTTTGCGTGCTCATTTGATATATTTTCTATGCTTTTTCGAGTGGCAGGCCTTGACCTCCTTGGAGGAAGAGTGCCTGGGTGCGAAGAAAGCCGCGGAGGCTGCTGGATCACAGCTGGCCAGGTCGAGGGGAGTCTCGCGAGAGTCGGAGAAATCGTCGACACAATTGGCTTCTTGCTACTACTTGCTCCAAGTAGTACGGCCACAACCCCTAGTAGTGTCCTTGCTCCTGGTAGCGATGCCAGGAGCCCCTAGTAGCTATTTTTCAATTAGGGTCCTGGAGTTTAGTACTTTGTAAATACTGGACGTCGAATGGCATTGTCACGTTGTAACAGACGCCTTTGGCACGTTGGAGTGTCAAATTTTGTAGGATGGTGGAGTTCATGGCCACGGGGCAGAAGAACTTGCGAAAACTCTTCGGAGATCTCAAGATCACGGAACGGCTGCTTGCCTAGGAGCAAAGGGCATCGCTACTAGGAGCAAGGACGCTACTAGGGGCATCGCTACTAGGAACAAGGGCCTTACTAGTAGCAACAATAAGTGTAATTAGAATTTCATTCCACTTGCCTCATACATGCTTTTACCCACTGTCAGGGGGAGGGTAAGGCCAGGGGATTCAATTCATTTCATGTCTTGATGGCCGCCTCGATTTCAATTGTTTTACCAAGTGCCTTGACAGTGAGATATCCTTAGCTGAATGTTTGCATCCTGTCAGAACTGAAAGGGATGCAAACAATCATACACCCCTCCAGTCCATCTCAGGAAGCAAGAAGAGGCACGTCAAAGACTGCAAGATCTGGTTTTGCCAGAAAGCCGGCAGCTGGTCTACGAGATGGTGCGGACCTCCCAGCAACTTGAGTGCTTCGCCCCTAATCTTTCGGATTCTTAAGCCAAATATTGTTTGGTATTTGTTTACAGAAAAAACAGAACAGAAAGAAGAAAAGGCAGGACCGCTCTAAACGTCCGAAGAAAAAGCACCTGGAAGGACAAAGCTGTGTTGTGTTGCTTTTTGTTTCCATGTCACCGTCAGCCTTGCGTCAAGGCAGTGGAGCTCCTGGATACCACCATTTTACCAGTTCAAAGCAGCTCCTCTGCAGTGCCTGCAAGCAGCGAGTGTCTCGGCCTTTGAGGAGATCTTGAGATATATTCTTGAAGACCATACAATCTAATAGGAATGGCCTCCATCGCTCTAGTCTTAGCTCCACCCTAGTAGCGATGGCCTCCAACCTACTACTAGCCATGGCCTCCAACCTACTAGCGATGGCCTCCAACCCACTAGCAATGGCCTCCAACCTAA